AGGAGAGACCGCGCTCTGACTGGGAACTGGAGAAAGTGTCCCGAATCTAAACAGTTTACACGAACGACAAAACACCGTGGTGACAGAACACAGGAGCAGATACAGGCTCAGCAGGAGACCTTAACTCAGGGGAACTATTTCTCTGTTTGTGTGTGGAGGGATTTCCACCATCACTCACAAACAGACAGACAGGTTGATGAATTTATATTAATACATAAAACCAGGCAGGTTGCAGTGTAACATCAGAGGAGACTGGGACAATTGTACATTCTCAAACTGCACCACCAGAGATTATTAAGGAACTACAGCACGGTCACATGACTTCACCTCACCACCGCTAAGCTAAAGGCGGCTAATGTTGGGCTATAAAGGAACTACAGCACGGTCACATGACTTCACGACGTCACCACCGCTAAGCTAAAGGAGGCTAATGTTGGGCTATAAAGGAACTACAGCACGGTCACATGACTTCATGTCACCACCGCTAAGCTAAAGGTGGCTAATGTTGGGCTATAAAGGAACTACAGCACGGTCATATGACTTCACGTCACCACCGCTAAGCTAAAGGTGGCTAATGTTGGGCTCGAAAGAAACTACAGCACGGTCACATGACTTCATGTCACCACCGCTAAGCTAAAGGCGGCTAATGTTGGGCTATAAAGGAACTACAGCACGGTCACATGACTTCACGTCACCACCGCTAAGCTAAAGGCGGCTAATGTTGGGCTATAAAGGAACTACAGCACGGTCACATGACTTCATGTCACCACCGCTAAGCTAAAGGTGGCTAATGTTCAGCTTGATTACATTTAGTCGTCTCATTTAGACACGTAGAAGCTTCAACTATTCACCAGTGTGGTAGTTACTGAGGTATTTTATGTCGTAAAAGAAAACGTGAAAATGTCTTCAGCTTAACTACAGACCTTATTTCAGACATCTAAACAAAAACAAAATTCAAAACTTGAAGCACTTCATTGTATTTTATGAAGTTGTTATTCCTGCATGATACCTGAACTTTTTTGGTTCCCACATGGTTGACTTGACTTATTGTTAGTCCTTTGGGGAAACAAGTCGGGTATATAAAGGTAATATAAATATGATCTAACATAGGCAAAATGTAATTTGAAAACTGATGTGGGTATTTCAGTTCAGTTAGAGTTTATGCAAGGCTTATTAAACGAATACAAATGATATGTATTCAAGTACAGTTTTGAGGTACTTGTACTTACTCCTATTTGATGGTTCTCTATCATTTTGAACTTTACACTAGCTTACTTAACAACTTTAGTAAGAAAAGATAATGATTGTATTTAACAATACATTTACTAAGATTAAATCAGATGTCCAAACATACATTCCCTTTCTGAACCCCTCCATGCTTTAATATTAATAACTGACACTTGAATTATCCAATATTTTACAAAGATATACAATAATGACACAAGACACCTTTATTTTGCAGAACCTTTTTTTGTTTTTCCTGCCTCTTAAATCCTCGCACAACCCTCAAATTGATCTTTGTATATACTAATGAATGACTAACAGCTGTTGTGACTGCATGTGTAATCTCTACGATAAGAAGAACAACAAAATTGCATCATCCCGTCCTCTCTTTATCAGACGGGATTGACCTGAACAGTCAGCTCGCTGTAAAAGGGCATATTCTGGAAAACTCGGAGGGACACAGAAATATGATCCGGGCCAATCGGAGAGAGGGGGAGACAGGGGAGAAAAAGAGAGAGGAGGGAATGTTTTTGGGAAGCTGTTTCTCCCAAGTTTGGTGTGACTGCCTGGAAGCTGCTTTGAAATACTGTGTGTTTGTGTTGGCTGCTGCTGCCAGACTGTGGAGACAAATCTGCAGAACATTCAGGAAGAGAGAGGGGTGTGTGTGTGTGTGAGCTTATTTTTTGTTATTAAAGGGGCCATATAATGCTCATTTTCAGGTGTATATCAGTATGTAGTGTCTCTACTTTAAAGAGTCCTCTCCTGCTGATGTTCAGGTGTATATCAGTTTGTAGTGTCTCTACTTTAAAGAGTCCTCTCCTGCTGATGTTCAGGTGTATATCAGTATGTAGTGTCTCTACTTTAAAGAGTCCTCTCCTGCTGATGTTCAGGTGTATATCAGTATGTAGTGTCTCTACTTTAAAGAGTCCTCTCCTGCTGATGTTCAGGTGTATATCAGTATTTAGTGTCTCTACTTTAAAGAGTCCTCTCCTGCTGATGTTCAGGTTCATATCAGTATGTAGTGTCTCTACTTTAAAGAGTCCTCTCCTGCTGATGTTCAGGTGTATATCAGTATGTAGTGTCTCTACTTTAAAGAGTCCTCTCCGCTGATGTTCAGGTGTATATCAGTATGTAGTGTCTCTACTTTAAAGAGTCCTCTCCTGCTGATGTTCAGGTGTATATCAGTATGTAGTGTCTCTACTTTAAAGAGTCCTCTCCTGCTGATGTTCAGGTGTATATCAGTATGTAGTGTCTCTACTTTAAAGAGTCCTCTCCTGCTGATGTTCAGGTGTATATCAGTATGTAGTGTCTCTACTTTAAAGAGTCCTCTGCTGCTGATGTTCAGGTGTATATCAGTATGTAGTGTCTCTACTTTAAAGAGTCCTCTCCTGCTGATGTTCAGGTGTATATCAGTATGTAGTGTCTCTACTTTAAAGAGTCCTCTGCTGCTGATGTTCAGGTGTATATCAGTATGTAGTGTCTCTACTTTAAAGAGTCCTCTCCTGCTGATGTTCAGGTGTATATCAGTATGTAGTGTCTCTACTTTAAAGAGTCCTCTCCTGCTGATGTTCAGGTGTATATCAGTATGTAGTGTCTCTACTTTAAAGAGTCCTCTGCTGCTGATGTTCAGGTGTATATCAGTATGTAGTGTCTCTACTTTAAAGAGTCCTCTCCTGCTGATGTTCAGGTGTATATCAGTATGTAGTGTCTCTACTTTAAAGAGTCCTCTGCTGCTGATGTTCAGGTGTATATCAGTATGTAGTGTCTCTACTTTAAAGAGTCCTCTCTTGCTGATGTTCAGGTGTATATCAGTATGTAGTGTCTCTACTTTAAAGAGTCCTCTCCTGCTGATGTTCAGGTGTATATCAGTATGTATTGTCTCTACTGGGACATGTCTTCATGCTTTAATGTTCAAAAAGCTCTTTATTTTTCTCATACTGTCTGTGCTGCAGCACCTCTTTTCACCCTCTGTCTGAAACCAGAGCCCAGTCTGCTCAGATTGGTTAGCCGGCCGGCTCAGTTGTGATTGGTCAACCGCTTAGAGATGTCCCGCCCCTTGGCCTATCACGTACAATGTGTTGGAGCGCTGTCGGGAACACTTTGCAGACCTTTTAGTTTCCGTAACTTATTTTGGATTTGACTTACAATGGTCCTAACTCACTATTTTATATTTCAGCTTTTCATGGGTATATCTGGTCATTAAAGCAACAACATAATGCATTTTACGGAGCCAGGGAGAGACGATGCATTCTTATTGTTTCTGACCTTACCTCAAATAATTCTTTACTGCTTTAAGATTTATTATGTGTTATAATCCCTTGTGAGAAACAATGTGTGAAAATGGTTATTCTGAGTAACTGAAAAGCTGGCATGGAAACACATATTACACTGTAGAGTCTTTCTTATTCATCTTTACTCAGTGGGTTTTATTTTCTTATCAAGTGTGTTTTATTTCCAGCTTATTTCCCTGTTGCTGTGTTGATTCACTTTCTCCTTTTCCTTGGAAATGTTTGGAAATGAGTAGGGTTGCAAAGGGGCGGAAAAGTCCCGGTACATTTCCGGAAAGTTTCCGGTAAATTTCCATGGGAAGTTAAGCTGGGGAATTTTGGAAATATTCCATATTTGAAATAAATTAATTTATTTAAGTTTTCCGCACTCTCGCGGGAATATCTCCGCAATGGAGCGAGCTTAAGTTTCCCAGCGCAACACCTTCGTCACACATGTTTCCACTTGTTTGTACCATTTTCAGGCGATTTGTAATCTGTTCTAGAAAAAAACGATGTGTTTTTGGATATTTGGGGAGTTAGGTGGTCCGCGAGTGTTTTTTTATTGGTTAAGTGGTCCTTGGTATGAAAAAGTTTGAGAAACACTGTACTAGATGAATACATTTGTATGTGATATTTGCAATTTAAACATTAAATAAATATATTACCCCATAATATCATCAAAACATACTTCACTTTGTGTAGCCCACAGGCTCAAATGTGTGGCTTCATTTGTGCTTTGGGCTCAAAAGTGTGATCCAGTCTTCTAGAAATCATGTGTGCATGTGATGGAGGAATGCACAGTGCCTGTAGGGGGTGTGGTCTCAATAGCCATGCAGTAAGCAGTGTGCTATGTGCATGTGATTGAGGAATGGCATGGATATTTAAGTGTACTTGAATGGCATCTGTTTGTTTTAGTCAAGATTATGCTAAAATATACTTTCCCCAACTATATTTAAGTTCCCTATGAAGAGCCAACCTTCAATTTAGAAAATTCCCAGTTAATTCCCATAAATTCCCATGAAAAGTTTCCATCTTTGAAAATTCCCGGAATTTTGCAACCCTAGAAATGATACAGGAATTACACACAGATACAAATAAAGTGATACCATTAAATTAATAATGCTAAATTGGAATGATATCCACTGGAATTTACACAATTTGATAAGATCTGGTGTACATATCATCTTCAAACGAGCAACTAGAGGCACATTTTGCATGCTTTTTAACCAAATCTATTCCTATACTACTTCACATATACATAGTTTACTTCTTCCAGCATTTCTATTTGCACCATTGAGTCAATTGCACTATTAGCTATTGTGCATTTGACAATAAAGCCTTTCAATCTGCCTGATTTTCTGTTTCCTTTGACATTTACTAAGAAGATCTAGTTTTGGTCATGGAGAGTTCGAGGGGCTGACGTCAGCTGTAGTTTTGTTACAAGAGTGGATATTAAACAGTAGTCCTCTGATCTGATGTTTGACCTCTGACCTCCCTCTGACCTCTCAGCTGGCGGGGAAGTACGACCCTCAGAAGGAGGAGGATCTGAGGCTGTGGATCCAGGACGTGACGGGGAAACAAGTCGGGGAGAACTTCATGGAGAGTCTGAAGAATGGAGTCCTGCTGTGCGAGTGAGTGGGAAAAAACACAGAAACATCTTATTCACCATTAAAGGTCACCTATTATGCAAAATCCACTTTTTCATGTCTCTTCTACATCAACATGTGTCCCCTCTTCTTCATGTCTCTTCTACATCAACATGTGTCCCCTCTTCTTCATGTCTCTTCTACATCAACATGTGTCCCCTCTTCTTCATGTCTCTTCTACATCAACATGTGTCCCCTCTTCTTCATGTCTCTTCTACATCAACATGTGTCCCCTCTTCTTCATGTCTCTTCTACATCAACATGTGTCCCTTCTTCTTCATGTCTCTTCTACATCAACATGTGTCCCCTCTTCTTCATGTCTCTTCTACATCAACATGTGTCCCCTCTTCTTCATGTCTCTTCTACATCAACATGTGTCCCCTCTTCTTCATGTCTCTTCTACATCAACATGTGTCCCCTCTTCTTCATGTCTCTTCTACATCAACATGTGTCCCCTCTGTGTAAAGAGACTCTGAAAGTTTCAGGAACAAAGATTCTCTCTCTTTTTCTCCTGATCCATTTCTATAAAAACCTGTCTGAAAATGAGCTGATCAGATTTTGGCCACTTTATGATGTCATAACGATGTTTTGTCTTGTGTAACAATTAGCCAATCACCAACCAAGGTAACCCCCACCTTATCACCTGAATCTCCTCCTAGAGCACCATTGTGTTCTTTGTAACCAAATCTCTCTCAGAGGGGCGTGGGGAGGGGCTCCTTATTTTCATCTGAAGTAACAGACAGAGAATCAGCACTTTTGAAACAGGGCTGAAACAGAGGGGATTATGGGTAATGCTGCAATGATCTGTTTGGTGTTTCAGCCAATCAGAGACAGGTTCTGGATATATCTGAGACCTGTGATATATTGATGAAAAACAGTATAATAGGGGACCTTTAACTTATACTTCATTATGGGCCTGCACAATTATTTATAATGTTACTGAAATCACAATATGGACTAGTGGTAAATCGTAGTACAGTAAGTGCAGTATTTGGTAAAAGCTATATATGTGACAATATTTAAATGAAGTATTGTGGTGCTGCAGAGAAGTCCCTATATTATAGCGGGTGAAGGAATGAGAAATATATATCCCAGAAATGAGTCAGCATTTTAACACTTCAGGGTTCCCTCGTCTCAAAATCAATGTGTTTTTGGTTGTTAGCCTAAAAATAAGGTCTGTTGTATAACACAAGCTGAAGAGATGTTAACGGTTTGTTCTACGTCATTAAATACGTCAGTAAATACCCGACTGTTGAATATCTGAAGCTTCTATGTGTCTTAAAAACTTCAGTTGCCAACAAGTCGCTAAATAAAGCTAGTAAACGTCATCACACCCAACATTAGCCTCCTTTAGCTTAGCGGTGGTGACGTGAAGTCATGTGACCGTGCTGTAGTTCCTTTATAGCCCAACATTAGCCGCCTTTAGCTTAGCGGTGGTGACGTGAAGTCATGTGACCGTGCTAGTTCCTTTATAGCCCAACATTAGCCACCTTTAGCTTAGCGGTGGTGACGTGAAGTCATGTGACCGTGCTGTAGTTCCTTTATAGCCCAACATTAGCCTCCTTTAGCTTAGCGGTGGTGACGTGAAGTCATGTGACCGTGCTGTAGTTCCTTTATAGCCCAACATTAGCCGCCTTTAGCTTAGCGGTGGTGACGTGAAGTCATGTGACCGTGCTGTAGTTCCTTTATAGCCCAACATTAGCCTCCTTTAGCTTAGCGGTGGTGACGTGAAGTCATGTGACCGTGCTGTAGTTCCTTTATAGCCCAACATTAGCCTCCTTTAGCTTAGCGGTGGTGACGTGATGTCATGTGACCGTGCTGTAGTTCCTTTTATAGCCCAACATTAGCCACCTTTAGCTTAGCGGTGGTGACGTGAAGTCATGTGACCATGCTGTAGTTCCTTTATAGCCCAACATTAGCCTCCTTTAGCTTAGCGGTGGTGACGTGAAGTCATGTGACCGTGCTGTAGTTCCTTTTATAGCCCAACATTAGCCACCTTTAGCTTAGCGGTGGTGACGTGAAGTCATGTGACCAAGCTGTAGTTCCTTTATAGCCCAACATTAGCCGCCTTTAGCTTAGCGGTGGTGACGTGAAGTCATGTGACCGTGCTGTAGTTCCTTTATAGCCCAACATTAGCTTTTTACTCCTGGAGATTGCATTTACGCTTACACATTTGTTATATGTGGAGATATCCTGCTGAACACAGCATGAACGTCTTTCTGATTTTGTGTCTCTTTCTCTGTAGACTCATCAATGTCCTCCAGCCTGGCTCTGTGAGAAAGATCAGCCAATCCACTCAGAACTGGCACCAGGTAATGTTTGAGCTCTGAGGAGAGAAAAAATTCCTTATTTGTCCGGCGAGTGTCAAAGTCAGGGCTGTTTTCCAGAGCATGCAAACTTTATTTAGTCTGCCGTGTTGACGTTGACAACACAGAGTTTATTGACGTTCCATAAAGTACCTGCTTTATCAAATGAAGCAAATCTCTGCATGGCTTTTAATGAAGAAAAGTAAACAGTGCTCCTTTTAGAGCTTAATTGAAGGTAATTGAAGTGTCCTTCCCTAAAACACCAATTTTTGCTATTTTTTTGTATCTTGATTACTGTATCATCTCAGATAATATGTATTTATTTTCACCTGCATTTGTGATTTTTTTTTTGTTGTAAATATTTCCCCCTTCCCAGGTGCGGTAACTTATTTTAAATTGTACCTACAGTATAATGGTCCATATATATTTTTTACATTGTGTTATTACTATGTATCATAAGATTGTGACAGCATATCAGGCTTTTTTTTTCGGAGCAAGAACGGTGGTAACATCCGGAAAGAAACGTCATGAATTTACACTTTCTTTTTTTCTTTCTCACTAATTTATGACATTTATGGGTTTTTTCCTGGTGATTTTGGTAGATTTCTTCTTCAAATTTGAATTATTTTCACTCTAAATGTTCTGCCCTTTCCAGTTCTGTAACTTATTTTTAGTTGTACCTACAGCAGGCCAAAGACATCGTCATACAGGCTAGCTGTTTCCAGTCTAAACGGCTCTTATTGTTCATTGTGCTTCATTTTGATCAAATACAAAATGAAGTATTTCTAACTCCCAGCAGAAAAGAGTGTAAAGAGGAGTGGAACAAACTACTCGAGAGGTCGCAGAATAGACGCTCTTCTCAACAACTTCCATTGTCCTCTTTCTCCTCAGCTGGAAAACATCGGGAACTTTGTGCGTGCGATCACAGAATATGGCCTGAGGCCGGACGACATCTTTGAAGCCAACGATCTGTTTGAGAACACCAACTACACTCAGGTCCAGAGCACTCTGCTGGCTCTGACAGGCATGGTGAGGACACACACACACACACACACACACACACACACACACACACACACACACACACACACACACACACACACACACACACACACACACACACACACACACACACACACACACACACACACACACACACACACACACACACACACACACACACACACACACACCTGTATTTTGTATTTGCTTTGTACACATTCTGCTGTAACAAAAGTATTTCATATATCAATAAAGTATATAAAATGTAATCTCTTAAATAATGCTGGGAGTAAGACAATCAAGAAGTAATAAAACATTAACAAATATAAAAGTAATTCTAAAGCTTTTGTACGATTTAATTTGTTTAAAAAAATACAATAATAATGTTTTTTTACATTTTTTTATAATTTTAAGGTTTATAAAAGTTATTATAAAGACCAGAGAGAGTTAGCATCTTATACCTTTGTATTGCATAGTACTACAAGCGCTGTCAGTAGAATAATAAAACCAATATGTGTATAAAATGCTCTGTTTCCATTGTTTCCCTCTCTGTCTCTGTGTCTCTCAGGCCAAGTCCAAAGGCTTCCACTCTAAATATGATTTAGGAGTGAAGTACGCGGAGAAGCACCTGCGCCGCTTCGCTCCAGAGAAACTGAAGGAGGGACGCAACGTCATCGGCCTGCAGGTCAGAGACAAGAGAGAACATTCAGTCATGTACCATACTGCAGTATTAGCATATTGGGAGGACAACGTGTCAGAAAAATATCACTGGTCACCGACTTGAGCTTCAATCTCAGGATCCATGTATTTGTGATCCTCTCCAGAATGGAAGTAGTCATCACATACAGAGCATCAACTAGTTCCTGAACAGTGTCCTTCACATGCTGATATCCAAGAGAGGGAGTTACACAGTCACAAGATGGAGGAATACAGGTTCTTGTAGGTAATCGTTGCAGGTCTCCCTTGAAAAAGAGATCTATGATCTCAAGGGACAATCTGGTTAAATAGAGGTTTGAAATTAAATTAAATCACACATCCTGTCATGTACAAAATACTGATTTTTTTTCTCAAAATCTCATGATTCTGACTTTCTCTCAAAATTATGACTTTTTTCTCAAAATTCTGTATTTTTTCTCAAAATCTCAAAATTCTGTCTTTTTTCAAAAAATCTCAAAATCCTGTATTTTTTCTCAAAATCCTGTATTTTTTCTCAAAATCCTGTATTTTTTCTCAAAATCCTGTATTTTTTCTCAAAATCTAAAAATTCTGTATTTTTTCTCATAATCTAAAAATTCTGTATTTTTTCTCAAAATCTCAAAATTCTGTATTTTTTCAAAAAATCTCAAAATCCTGTATTTTTTCTCAAAATCTAAAAATTCTGACTTTTTTTCTCAAAATCTAAAATTTCTGTATTTTTTCTCAAAAGTCTGTCTTTTTCTAAATACTTCAAAAATGTTAATAATCCCTCGTCACCGGCTTGAGCTTCAATCTCAGGATCCATGTATTTCTGATCCTCTCCAGAATGGAAGTAGTCATCACATACAGAGCATCAACTAGTTCCTGAACAGTGTCCTTCACATGCTGATATCCAAGAGAGGGAGTTACACAGTCACAAGATGGAGGAATAGAAAGCAGTATTCAATGTTTACTTCAGATTAGCTCCACGTCAGAAATGATCATGCTTGTCATATGTCTATCTCCATAGAGGCTGAATCATCATGTTAATCACATAGCTATCATATGCCTCAAACAGTCCTGATGCTCTTCTAGGTAATCATACATCCTGTCATGTTCACAGCTACAGTTGGGATACCTTTGTTATCATGTGGACTCTCATATTGCTAGAGTACATTCAGTGTTTTCCCATCACAAAGCAATATAAAGGAGTTCCTTTGGACTCTGGATGATTGTGTCGACAACCAAACATCAAACAATAAATTGAGAAAACAAATGTGAAGGTTAATCCAATAGGAATATAACAATGTCCTCGTACCAACATTGTGTTTTCAGTCATTTAATGTACTTTCTCTTGCTGTTTCTCAGATGGGCACCAACAAGCTGGCCAGTCAGAAAGGCATGACATCTTACGGCACACGGCGCCATCTGTACGACTCCAAGATGGCGATGGAAAGTCCTCTCGACCAATCAACAATCAGCCTGCAGATGGGCACCAACAAGGGGGCCAGCCAGGTGAGGATGGGGACTGATATTTTTATCGATTTTGTTCTTTCGATTCTCTGAATACACATTATCCTGCCCAATCAAGGCCAAAATGATAATCACCATTATTTTGATTAAGATTAAAATCATGATTATATCACAATGAATCATTTGTCAAATCACGTTTACATCACCTGTCTTACCAAACAATCCTCCATCTTGCTTTCCCTTTCTCTCCTCCAGGCTGGTATGACGGCTCCGGGCACACGGAGGCACATCTTCGACAAGAAGCTGGATCTGGAGTCCTGCGACAGCTCCACCATCTCGCTGCAGATGGGCACCAACAAGGTGGCGTCGCAGCAGGGCATGACGTCCTACGGTCTGCCGCGCCAAGTCTACGACAACAAGTACTGCACCAACCCCACCGAGGCCCAGAACAACAACGGGGGGGACGAGTTCGACGGCTACCAGTACGACGACTAAAAGAAAACACACCCTAAAAACCTCCTCCCTCCCTACGCTTACCGTCAGACGACCAGAAAACACGACTCTTTTGTCTTTGTGTCGAAGCAAACTGACTGTTATTTAACACTGATTGACGTTGAACTTCGTCCCCCTAAAGCTTTATGAATTTGTCTTTCCTGAATTAAAGAAAAAATAGCGTTTGCACTGACCCTTACGTCAAAGATTTCCGTATCTATGAGGATTTTTATTACCGCAAAATAAAAAAACAAGCCACACTCAGATTTGTGCTATTTATATTTTTCGCTTTTTTACTTGCTTTGTAAGAGAGTGGTGCAGGAATGAGTCCTAAAACCCGGAAGTGAGTTAGCATTTCAGTACTTTCACATTTTGTTGTACGACATCAAATATGTCAGTAAACACCCCACTGGTGAACGTCACAAAGTGTTTTAAATACAGCTACATTAGTGACTAAATGAGACAAATAAACGCCAAACATTAGCCGCCTTTAGCTTAGCGGTGGTGACGTGAAGTCATGTGACCAAGCTGTAGTTCCTTTATAGCCCAACATTAGCCGCCTTTAGCTTAGCGGTGGTGATGTGAAGTCATGTGACCAAGCTGTAGTTCCTTTATAGCCCAACATTAGCCACCTTTAGCTTAGCGGTGGTGATGTGAAGTCATGTGACCAAGCTGTAGTTCCTTTATAGCCCAACATTAGCCACCTTTAGCTTAGCGGCGGTGATGTGAAGTCATGTGACCAAGCTGTAGTTCCTTTATAGCCCAACATTAGCCACCTTTAGCTTAGCGGTGGTGATGTGAAGTCATGTGACCAAGCTGTAGTTCCTTTATAGCCCAACATTAGCCACCTTTAGCTTAGCGGTGGTGATGTGAAGTCATGTGACCAAGCTGTAGTTCCTTTATAGCCCAACATTAGCCACCTTTAGCTTAGCGGTGGTGATGTGAAGTCATGTGACCAAGCTGTAGTTCCTTTATAGCCCAACATTAGCCACCTTTAGCTTAGCGGTGGTGATGTGAAGTCATGTGACCAAGCTGTAGTTCCTTTATAGCCCAACATTAGCCACCTTTAGCTTAGCGGTGGTGACGTGAAGTCATGTGACCAAGCTGTAGTTCCTTTATAGCCCAACATTAGCCGCCTTTAGCTTAGCGGTGTTGAATCTAAGTCATGTGACCGTGCTGTAGTTCCTTTATAGCCTAACGTTAGCTTTTTACTTCAAAAATCCTAAAGTGTTGTCTTAATGTGTGGAGGTTATCCTGCTGAACAACATAAACGATTGTTGGCTACACATCTTATTTCCTGCCAAATCCAATAGGAAAATCCCATTGGCTTTTCATCGAGGTAGCCCTTTGCTATGCTAACTTCCTGTTCGGCCTACAAAACTCCTCATCCCTGCATCGCTCTATTCGACATTTTACAAACTACTTTTCCCTATCTTTCCCAATCAATTGTTGAGAATTCAAAGCTCCTTGAAGAGGAAACAAGCGGCCGAGTTGGTGCTATTGAACTTTGACCCCGTTGGAACCGAGTCCTCGTCGACATTGGAGCTCCGCGGGGATTTTTTTTTACACATTTTCGGGGTCCGCAGATTGACCTGGAGGACTCGTAGCTTCTTTTTGTTTTCTGTCATGTTCACAGGCCTGCCAGATCACGCCATTTTTTTTTTTTAAACAGGGATAATTTCCATGGCTTTGTGTGCAGTTTGATAAGGGGACAATGCTTTTATAAAGTGAAAGAGCAGAAGTAGGTGTTGTGAAATATAGTTTGAAGTCAGGTTAGTCACTACTAGTAGATTTTGTCCTGTTGTTTCCTCCATCTTTTACTGAATTTCCCTCCGTCAACTTTAGTGCTGTTGCACTTTACCCAGCTTCACATTAAATTAAACAAGTACATTTGATCAGATATTGTATTTAAATTGGAGGTACTTTACTTGAGTATTTACCTCTTATACTTCTACTACACTGCCATATAGATAGCCACATATATTCAGGGTTCTTACAGTTTAAGAAAAGTTAGATTTAAGACTTGTTTTAATGCCAATCAGAATGAAATGTACAATAATTTAGCATTTGCGATTCCACTGACTTTAATCCTATCATGCCAATATCTATTTTAGTTATAGTTACTTTAAAATATAAGACTTTAAAATTGAGGTCATAGAATAAGTTGTAAGTATAGATAACAATATTGTCGTATTAAACTCACTATGGCAATTTTTCTTGGGCAGTATTTCTACCTACTTTTTCCTGAGCAACATCTTAAAGGCAGGTCTTATAATGTGGTATTTTTCCATTAGCGTATTGCTACTTGTACTAAAGTAAAGTACCTTTAATTGCCAAGTGAATCATGCACAATATAAAAACTGTTAACCCACCGAATGTCATGAATGTAATAACACTAGCTGTTCTGGGGTTCATTTTCAACACATTAGAAGTAAAAGAAAAGTGCATTTACAAAGTGACTGATAAGGCTGAGGCACTTGTGATCTAGAGTTACAACATAAAGCAGTTTAATGTGAAATATTTACATTTATTGGCTTTGAAATACTGTCAGAAAATGTAGATTAGAGCTCTTGAATTCAGCATCAAAGTGTGCCCTCTAGTGGAGGAAACGCACATGTACACTTACTGTATTTTTTATTTATCAAACATTCCCTTTGTTCCCTTGAATGTAGTTTTTTAGTTCTGTCCAACATTTTAAGTAACTTTCTAGTAACATTTCACCTTAATGTGAAGGCTTTGTTTCAACGTTGTTTAAATGTTACACTTTTTCTAACTTCTTGATTTTTCGACTTGTACGCGTTTCACTAAACATGACATTTGTGCAATAAAAAACACTTGAAAACAGTTTTGATTACATTTTCTTAGTTATTACCTAAAAATACACAGAAGGTAGTGTAATACAAAGTACATAATTGTGATGTATGTACTTATAAACAGGTAAAAACACAAAAACTTGGTAAAGATTTGGCATTTAACGGAGTTGAAAACTAAAAAAACTACTTTCACAAAAAGTAACACAATTCTGTTTCATAAACATACTTATTACAACGACTAAAATAATAAAAAATAAAGGCGTGGAATGTTTTACGCTGGAGGGAATTTCAGTCATTTACATTTAAAACATACATTTTGAGTCCAGAAAAAGGGAAAAATCGTGATCTAATTGTTAAAAAAACACAACACATTTCTTCCTAATCTAATCATTGACGTATGAAAACTATAACACAAAATGGCGGCCCTCTGTCCCAGCCAGAGGGACGTGTGATGCTCAGCCACACTGTAGCAAAATTGGCCAAACAAAGCAAAATAAAATAACGCTTCAATTGTTTGATCTTGCTACATCGTGCTAAGCTCATTAATGCACCAATCACAGGGGTGGAATGTAAAAGAGAAGGTGAGGTAAAAAGGAAATCGGGACTATTGATTGGCTGCTTCACAAGCGTCGATCCAATCACTGTAAACGTCCACCGCTTCGGAAAGATCTGAAGAGTAAATGTTAAGGATAAAGTATTCCAAACACGTGTTTCTCTGCCTTAAACCTGACTTTCTTTGTTTTCTCATTTCACAAACATTACCATATTGTTAAAACAAAGATACAAGCACACAGGACCAAAAACAATCCTACCCGGCGACTGTAATGTTCATATAGTGTCGAAATATACAGATAAATGTGTTCTGTGAAATCTCATGTGAACGCCCAATTGAGACCAATTTGGAAAGTCGGCAAAAGTTACTCATAATAATACAAAACTCTTTACCGTGATATTACTTTGAGGCGGTTATAGTTTTACGAATCCCACCCGAGATGGATTGATTTTAATAAACTTTAATTAAATGACGTATTACACATCAATTTATTTCTCACATGTAATTTGTAATATGGTGAAGGTTGTATCTGTTAGTTGCTATCTACGTAAAGTGACTTGTATTATTTAAAAAAAAATAGTTATTAGTGAAGAGCCTTGTGGTTACAGCAACATAAACGCAATATCCACTGTGTTGAATTTTACACCCATACATCCCTGCCCCCAATTTGAACAAACAAAACAAAAATGTCATTTATTTAGTTGGTTATTCGTTTTGTTCAAACAGCTAAGATAAGACTGTATTCATCCCGAAGGAAATTGTTGATCCAGAGTTACAACAATACAATAAACACAGCAGCATGATAATAAAACTGTAAACTAACAGAGCAGCAAAAAGAGCACTTAAATATCTACAGGACACATCATTAAAGTAAATATTAACAGTATTTAGTAGAGCAAAAAAAAGGTAGTGTCAGATACGTTATTTCACGTTATCATAGAACATTATTAATAATAATAATATTGCACATGTTATATAGCAGCGAGTGTTTTGTAATGATGCTATGAATGATTTCCCAAAGTTGTAACATTTCCCAACAATTCAAAGGAGCACCTGAACGCACCATGAGTCATAACAAATAGTAACACATGATTTTAAAGTGTGTTGTTTGTTAAAGGATACAGGTGATAGGAGTCTGGAACTCCTCCAAGCAAACGCTGCAGGATATAATTCCCGTGTTGCGCGTTCGTTCCCTAGAAAGACAGTTAGTAGTTAGTAAAGTTGTATCAAGTTCGGCCAAAACTAAAAGGTACCATGGGGTCAGATTAGAATTTTCCAAAGGGGGGTTCGTTTAGCACAGGGGTGGGGAACCTCCGGCCTCAGGGCCATATACGGTCCGCGAGACCATTTGATACGACCCTCGAGGTAATTTATAAACACACGCAGCGTAACGTGTCATCGCGTGGTATATCTCACGTCACGTCTTCAATATGAAACATTACATTACATGTTACTTGTTAGACGCTTTTATTCAAAGCGACTTACATACATTCAGTACTGTGGGCAATCCCCACAGGAGCAATTTGGGGTGAAGTGTCTCAGGGACACAACGACATGCTGACTGCAGCGGGGTTTGAATCAGTGCCCCCGTGATCCGAAGATCAGCGCACTAACCACTGAGCCACAACCTCCCTGGAGACCGTAAGTGTCACTGTCATTGATAGCAGCGAACTTAATATGGCGAGTATTAATAAGAGAAAGGTGGATGCAGAACTCTCCAGGAGGAACGGACAAATGATGATGTTCACCTGGTTCTGCTGTGTGAGTTTCTGTTGTGTTCACTCATGGTGCAGATTAGTATCCAGTGTTCCTCAGTTTGTTGCATTTAAGTTTTCATTACATTCCTGGAATTCAAGGTACCTGCTATGAGAGTCTGCAGTTTGGTCCTTACGCCTTTTACACACTCTCTCCAAAGCATAACATAAAAACTTTGAAAATAAAACAGAAAGATATCTGGATCAAGAGGTTTCTTTGCACAGCATGAAAGAAAGGTGAAACGAATGGGCTGTGATTTTAGTTTTTTTTTTAGCAGAGGTTGAGTTCAATCATTTGTACGGCCCTGGGAGGATGTTGTGAAAATTGAAATGGCCCTTGAGAGGAAAAAGGTTCCCCACCCCTGGTTTAGCATGAAACACTTGAAATAACTAAAGGATAAGTTAAAAAAGAAAGTGGAAAGTAAGTGAGGTCAAAGAAAACTATTTCTGCTAAAAAGTCAGCAATGATTGAGTCAGAGCTAAACATTTCAGATGTGTGTATCTCACACGGCACTGTCACTTTAATTCATGTACCTTTGCTTTTAAATGAGTGTTTTTAAATGCCATTTTTTAATATAATGTCTTTCATTGTTCTAAAGCACTTTGAATTGCCTTGTGTTGAAAGTTGCTTTATAAATAAACGTGCCTTGCCTTGTAAATAATAGAAGTATCTTAGTGATGTTTCTCATGTTTCTCTCCATTCCTCTGTTTTGGTTGTTTTTTAGTTACTTACATTTTAACATCACAGGATTTCTCGTGGTTGCAGAAGGGGCAGGTGAACTGGACGTCCAGGTTCCCGGTCATTTTCTTCTTGGGAGGAGGCTTTCTCTTCGACTTCCTGCGCCCCATTTCTAATGCTGTTTATCTGCAGTGAAACACACAAAAAGAAATGTTGAATTATAGTTCCTTTAGCTTTCCAAGAGGCCAAAGCACTCAAGTGTTTCATGTGCAAACCTGTGTGTTTGATGTTGAACTATTGTGAATTTCCATTGCCAAGTATTGCACTGTGGGTGGGAACAGGATTTATTTGACTTGTTTAAGATAAGATAAGATAAAATTGACCTTTATTAATCCCTGTGTGTTCAGTAGTTTAGCAGCAACAGGGTGAGATTGAAAAACAGGACAGCACAGAGTCACACAAGATGAATACAATTAAAATTATATACAGGTAAGTAACTGTTAAAATAAGAAATGAATTAAATGAACATTTATACATATTTGAGTCCGGATTGTTAAATATATTGACATGTATATGTGCTGGTAAAAAGTTATTGTGAAAGGTTTACCAAACATACAACTAAACCATATCAATATAGACAGTTTTAAGCCACAACGAACATAGTGTGTTATGCCCTGTCATTTCTACATAGCATTTTTGTTCGAAGGATTCATTTTCAGATCAAATCTCAGTCGTATTTGAGTACAACAGTCGAAAGCTACTTGATGATACTATATTAACAGTCTAATAATGCCATATACAGTGTATATAATAATATACCACTTACAGAGTTGTTTAAATTGTTTACTAAGTATATTTTTCTGACAATACTTCTGTCTTCTTTGCTTACTTAAGTAACGTTTACTTCTTGTTACTTTTACTTGTAATTAAGTATTTTAACATTATATTTTTGGGAACTTTTACTTATGTATAGGACCTGAATACTTCTTCCACCACTGTAGATTTTTTTTTAAATGATCCACACATCATTTTTTTAGGATAACAGCTTGCTTTTATGCTCATCAGCCTCATGCAAATATGTGCAGTATTGTTATGGAAAATGGAAAGCTGTGCAGATTGTAAGAGGTAGCTTATGTGTACAGATGTGCAAAAATGTCTCTAGCTATTGTAACGGATTATATTTTAAAGTAACCCTCCCAACAGTGCATTTATTACAGCCACTTTCTCCATTTACCGTACAAATATCGGCCAAAAAAAACTACGGTGAACAGGATCAGGAAAAAAACATTGAAGCGCCAAAAAGCTACAAGCTAAGAAAGCTAACTCGCTAGCATTGACTAACCTCTGGGAGGAGACACTCTGTGACTAAATAAGAAGCTTATAATAAACGACTTTGCTTGTAATAACTACGTGAGTGTTTGGTGTGTTGTTGGTTGTGTTATTTCTTATTTCGGGATGTGTGAGTGTTGTTTTTCTCACCAAAAGGATGTCTTGTAACGGAGGATGCTCTGTATTCAATTTCATCCGGGTACTACGCGTCATCTCTTTGGGACTGCGTCTGATTGGTTACTGGGAGATCATGACCGGTTTTGATTGGCTCTTTAAAAAAGTTGACTGACAGCGTTGGTATCCAATAGTGGATCATGATTTATAAATTAACTCCCGCCTCCATTGATGATGCAAACCATTACATATTTAGAGATAGATAGATAGATAGATAGATAGATAGATAGATAGATAGATAGATAGATAGATAGATAGATAGATAGATAGATAGATAGATAGATAGATAGATAGATAGATAGATAGATAGATAGATAGATAGATAGATAGATAGATAGATAGATAGATGGATGGATAGATAGATAGATAGATAGATAGATAGATAGATAGATAGATAGATAGATAGATAGATAGATAGATAGATAGATAGATAGATAGATACTTTATTGATCCCAATTTGGGAAATGTTTGCGTTGCAGCAGCATAAAAAAAAGGCAATGTACATAAGAGAAATTGAGACACAAGAAATAAACAGTCCAAAATATTTCTGAAATAGAAATAACATAGCATTAAAAAGTAAAAAAAAAAAGATAGATTAAATGATATGTGCCAATTGAAACATGTACATATAATCCAGTTGATGGCGCTCTTGAATGTCATATTAATTTAAATGTTCGATGCACAATTTGTTTGTAATTGTCTTTTAATATTTCCCTTTCCTTGCTCTTCACATGTGTTTGAAGCACATCAATGTGTTGCTATTTACTTGTTTTGGGGGTTTTGTACAGTATTTATATATTAATAATTCTTGGTAAGAAAGTAAAACCAACGGGAGGGTCAGACTGTGAAAGTAAAAATTCACTACAAACTCGATGATTGGTCGAAATGATATGAAATATGAATTCTAAAGGATCTCATTGGCCCGTGTCGTATCAAGGGGCGGGGCTTAATGGCAACAACATGAGAGAGGAAGTGTCTCGGCTGAACTTTGTCACATAGCTATTCATTTAGCCTTCATAATTACAGACTATCAAAGTAAAGAAAGGTAAGTGCAAGTGTTTGCAATGTTTAGTGAGTAACTGTTCTGCTAAGTTCTATCTTAGGTCGACTTAAAACGTGCTAAAGCTACTTAGCTTGTCAGTTGCAGCTACAGACACTGCTTTTCTTTAGTGCATTTCCTTTTATCACCGAATACTGTAACGTTGTTGCTTCTGGGATGCATTTATAAAGCGTGCATGCATATATTCGGAAATGCAGTGGTGTTATATAATATAATATAATGGTGTTTAAACTTCTACTGAACTACAACTCAAAGACATTTCATTTTTTTATATATCTCACAGCTTTACTTACTTTTATAATGTTTCATTAAAACAACATGATATTAAATGTTATGGTAATGAATCCTTAAAGATGAAACCAGTGGAATAACTGTTTCATGTAGAAAAATGTCCACTATTAACACTCTAATAATGTCATTTATATTATAAAATATCACATATTGAAGACATTTTCCTGCAGAATGAGTACTTTTACTTTGTGATACTTAAGTACATGTTGCTGTTAATACTTCTACTTTAACCTAAGTGAGGTTTTAAACACATTACTTTTACTTGTAATGGAGTATTTGGACATCAATGTATTGGTACTTTTACTAAAGGATCTGAATACCTCTTCCACCTCTGACTAAATGTATTTTCTGTGCGCTGTTATCTCGCAGTTTCATGTCTGCTGAGCGCGAGGACTTTATCTCTTTGGCCCAGATCCTAGTGTTACACCAACCCAAAAAAAAGCATGTGACGTTGTATCTTTCATTTGAAAACGGCTTGACTTATTGGCGTATACACATGTTTTTGAAGTTATGGTATTTTCACAATTCTAGTATAGAAAATGTAACCTTAAGTTGTAAAATAATGGTTAAATACTTTTGTCATATACTCTATTATGCATTGTTTGGGAGGTCATTTTAGGCATATATATTTTAATGGGTTTCCTATTATAATTATTTTTGTTAACAACTTCAACAACATTGATGCATTATTATTGTTTTTGCAGGAAGCACATTTCTTTAGAAAAAGCAAGGTGATTGGTACACCCATGGGGCAAAAAGCAGTGTAAACACAAGGAGTATAGACTAACTAACCTATGTATATATATTGTGTCGTAGCTTCCTTCCTTGTTTATCTATCAAGCCACTAGACGCCTTAAACCAGGGGTGTCGAACTCAATTTCATCACGGGCCACATCAGCATTATGGTTGCACTCAAAGGGCCGGTTGTAACTTTAAGACTATATCATTAATTAATATAACTTCATAATTAACTACGTCTGAAAGCAGAAGTCTAGAGCAAATAATTGCAAGTCTCTTCAGTAAGAATGTCACAATATGATTTTAAAAGAAAAGCCACATTCTGGAAAAACATTGATTGTGACATTTTGAAAAAGAGAAGTGACATTTTGAAAAAAAAATCTATTTATGAGGAAAAAGGCTAATTCTAAGAAAAAAGGCATATTTGGACAAAAAAAGTCAAATTCTGAGAAAAAGTCACATTTGAGATGCATTGTGGGACATGTCGTTTATGGGCAACGTGCTTCTGTAAAGTAGCATGTAACCGTATAATAAACATATTATATTCTTTGCAAGCTCTTGTGGGGCCACATAAAATGAAGTCGCGGGCCGGATTTGGCCCCCGGGCCTTGAGTTTGACACCCCTGCCTTAAACAGACATGTTACTGCCTCTAACATATTGTACATATTTTGCAGAGTGACACCATGGCTGCAGAGGGGGAGCCATCAGATTTGGTGAAGGTGCTTCACCTCCTGCTGCTCTCTTTCTCCTGGGGGATGCAGGCCTGGGTCTCCTTCATCGCAGGTGAGAGCACAAGCAGAAAGGATATCTGCAACATAAGTACTCTTTGTTTTTCTGACTCCTCAAGGATTCAAGGCTTGTATTGTCATGTGTACAAAGCTACAGTGTAGTTATGACAATGAACATCTTAGGTCACAGACTCCTCCAACAGAGCAACACAATAAAACAGATAATAGTGCTAGTTGAGCCTTGCAGGTGGGGGTGCTGCAGCCCCCTCAGCACCACCCCTTCCCGCGTCCACTCGCGATGTCTCGCAGACCCCACGCAGCAAGCAGGAAATGAACCCAGCTCACACTGTCCCCTCCTCGCAGCAGCGAGCCGCGCAACGTCCCGCCAACACGGCACCCAGACCCCACGCAGCATTCTCATCTGTTTGTCCTTACTGGTGTCATTTTCTGGTTGCTAACAAACGCCATTGTAACACATAATCACTGATGTTCCGCTGTAACGGTGGTGGACTCATCAGAACAGAGTGGGCGAGCTGACCAATCAGAGCACAGCGGGCTCATAGGGAGGGGGGGGGGGGGGCAGGAGCTCCAACAAGCTGTTTAGGACAGAGAGTGAATACACATACTATACAGAGATGCTGTATGAGAAAACAATGTGAGTTTGGAAAATTGAACAATGTAAATCTATTCTAGTATACCTCAACAATGGAATTATGATCAGTAGAAATGGCCATGACATGGGACCTTTAAAGTATTAGGGGCAACGTGTTTGTGCCAATAAGGAAATACATGGAGAGAAGAGGCAGGAATGTCCTCAGGCATTATTCATTCTTTCTTCCAGTTCTTTTTATAAACCTTACCTCAAAGTATTTTTACTACAGTGAGACTTTAAAGCCTCATCCTTTCTGAGAAAAGTGTGTGTGTGTGTGTGTGTGCAGGTTTTGTGTTGCGGATGAAGGTGGCGCGGCACACCTTCGGCCTGGTGCAGAGTAAACTGTTCCCGGTGTATTTCTACTTCCTGCTGGGCAGCAACGTGCTCAGCCTGGCTCTGTTCGCTGTGTTTCATCCCAGAGAGACGATGGACTGGCGTCACAGTGTGCAGGTAACACCTCACACCTGTTCATACAATATTACAACAGAATTAAGAATACTTCATTTGTCCCGGGGGGGGAATTGGGTTATATGATATTATTTTAATAAACACAAGAAGTAAAATAAAAAATGTGCATTGAGAGATGAAATACAAATATTTATACAAACTTAAGAAGAAGTTAAAATTGCAGTTTTACGATATAATATATAGTAAAATTGTAATATATATATATAATATGTAAAATCGTGAATATTGCGATACATACAGTGCTATATTAGTATAAACAAGGATGTTAAAGATTAAAACCACATAATGGCTTGCATTGTACTGTACAGCGTAATACGTAATAAATTAACAAATAAAATAAGTATTACACTTAATAATTGCAACATTTTGTACAGCCTTAATATTGCACATTGTAAGAGAGTTAGTAAATACAAATGTTTTCACAATATCTGCAAGTAAATCCTCCCCATCCTTCATACGTTGTCTCTTTGTGTCCGGCAGATGCTTCTGTTCTTCGTGGCTGTGGTCACGACGGCTCTGAACGGGCAGTGGTTCGGTCCGGCTTCCACAGAGGTGATGTTCCAGATGCGGGCGGTGGAGGAGGAGCACGGCCTGGGGAACCAGATCGGGCTGAGCAGCCAGAAGGAGGAGTACACTAAACTCAGAGAGAAGGACCCCAAGTACAAAGCCTTCAAACGCTCCTTCGGGAAATACCACGGGATGTCCATGCTCTGCAACCTGATCGGGTTCCTCTGCACCACCAGCAACCTGATCTACACCGCGCTCAACCTGTCCACCATTTAGAGGAGAGTAGATCCACCATGAATGGACTTTTGTATGGTTCAAAATAGCCAAACATTAAAGTTTAAAGACATCATGTTCATGTAGTTGCATAGAATATTTTATTACTTGCTGTCCCAACTGTCCTGATGAGGGAGGATGGGTTCTTTGCCATTGAGTTGCAAAAAAATACACTATTTTTGATCACTTCAAAATGGGTCCAGCTGCGGAGCTCCAGGCTGGGGCCCACCTCCTCTGTAGGACCATTATGTTAGCTTAAAGTGGACCTATCATGGTATATTTAAATGATATATTGTAGGGCCATACCTATATAAGGTATATTTATACGTTTCTGTTTTCAAAATACCAAACAGATCATGCATTTTAGCCATGCCTCATTTCGCTCAATTTGCACTTTTTTCAGCAAGGGCTGATTCTGTGAGAACAGCACCACCTACTGGCCTGGTATATGTACTACAGCGTCTCCAGCACTTTCGAACGGCAATGGCCGTGGCTGTCTCCTCCTGATTGGTGGAGTTGGCCCAATAGCCGTAGCGCCACCGTCCTGACATCAGGACAGTGTTCAAATCTGGATCAGTTTTTATTAGATCCGTTGCAGCCCCTTTTTTAGAGATTTGGGTATGGAGGAAAATAGAGAGGGTTGTGTTTTCTGACACTTGGTGAGTTCCCTGGAACACCGGGGACACATATTCATGTATAAAAGACGTACAAAAGTGCATTTTGCATGATAGGTCCCCTTTAAAAAAAGTATCGACATCTGATATGATAGCATTCATTCACTATTTTAAATAAGCAACAACCAATAACACCAAGATAAAATATGAAACCTTAAGATTTCGTACCTAATGTATAAAGTTAGGTACATTAACGCTAAGCAGCAAAAGACTATCCTTTTAAGTTTGCAAACACTAGCTAACTATTATTGTCGTGAGCAAACTACCGTTAACGCCAGTTGAAGTTATTCATTTGCATTAAGCTTTTGTATATACTTTTTTGTTCTAAGGTTACCTGGCTCACGACATTAGCTAGCTGAAATGAGCGTTTGTTAATAAACATAATTTAGGTAACGTTAACGTTTTTATGTTACAGTTAAATATTAAAGGTGTCTTGTTTACTTTGGTGTTATTGGTGGAGGTTGCGCGGCATAAAGCAGAACACATTCATTAAATACACACACTCACTTATTCATTAACATTAAAATCAATAAAACAATACACTAAGCATTTT